CTCCCTCCCTCCCTCCCTCCCTCCCTCCCTCCCTCCCTTCTTTCTTTCTTTCTTTCTTTCTTTCTTTCTTTCTTTCTTTCTTTCTTTCTTTCTTTCTTTCTTTCTGAGACATGTTCTCATTATGTAGCCCTAGCTGGCCCGGAACTTACTGTATAGCCTCAAACTTACAGAGATCTGTCTGCCTTTGCCTCCTAAGTGCTGAGGTTGAAGGTGTCTTTATATAACTGTGCCCTGCCAGCCTGCCTTTTCTTTATTAAACATTGTATCATATAAAAATAGAATATCATAGATAAAGTATCCAGGGGTCATAGATATAAGAAAAATCCAAAGTGTTAAACGAATAGCTGAAGGACTTTTACAATCTGGATTCCCTGTAAAGGACAAATAAGGCCTGACCAGATTGCCCAGTGGGTGAAGGTATTTACTTCCAAACCCAGTGTCCTGAGTTCAATCCCCAAGGCCTGTATATAGTGAAGGAGAGAATCCACAGTGTGCTGTGGTTACACACACACACACACACACACACACACACACACTCACACATAAATATAATAAAATTAAAACAAAAGAACAGATAAATTCATATTTCAGAATGAGATTTGTTCTCTGTCATGTGACCTGACTTCTGGGTTAGGAACCGATGTACTCTTTCTAACAGATACAAACAGCCCTTGTATTTTCTTCTTCTGAATCCAAGGAGGTGATACGGAGGTCTCCATGCTGTCAGTTTGGCATTGGTTGAGTTTCTGAAACTCAAAATCACAACACAGCTTAAAATGTTCTGCAGTTTCTGAGATCGAGAGAGAGTGTGCGTGTGTGTGTGTGTGTGTGTGTGTGTGAGAGAGAGAGAGAGAGGGAGAGGGAGAGGGAGAGGGAGAGGGAGAGAGAGAGAGCGCTCACCCCACCCGACAGAGCATACTCAATGCCTAAAAAAACAAGTTAAACCACAGGACAGCTTTTTACAAAATGTTCAGAAAATAAGGGCTTCTCTCTTTTTTTTTTTTTATTTTTATTTTTTCTAGGCCTAAGCCTCTCGACTGCAGAATGATTTTCCCCCTTACTTTCATGAGCAAGAATGTTATTGAATAAAAAAGTCAAATTCCTATGAAAAATGCAGAGTGTTTATGTTTTTGTTATGAGAGTAGAAATACCAGATTGTGGCAGAAGATGTCAAGTAGTTAAGGCTAAAAAAAATTCAAAGTAATATTTGATGTTGTAAAAAAAATTGTATAGGTTTCTTTTCTCTTTTCCTTCACATTTTTTGAAGAACCTACCTTGTAAACACAGTGATAAAATGCCAGGAATATTAGGATTTTAAGGAAATAATAGAGCCCATTATTTAAACTACAATATAAAAGGCAATTACATTGATGAAGAGCTACATGGGCTTTGTGTGTGTGAATAAACTTGGCCCGTGTTCAGCTTCTATTTGTTTCTCCGGTATAAACACATATTGTGTGTGATTCCAGTTTAATGGGGACCCGTTTGTATGCCAAGCAGCTGCATTTTAGGGCCTATTGCGTGATTTCATAGCTCTCTGAAAATTGGTTCTATTCAGAACAGGAGATAGAAGAGGACAAGGGGGGGGAGGTGTGGGGGGGGGCCTCAACACACAATCATTTCTTTTCAATTGGAGCCAGAAAGGTTGATGACAACATGACCATTGTGTTATAATGATAAGACCACTAAGGCCTCTGTACCTCTCATCATGGCTTTCACTCCACAGCAGATACAATTTAATTCACTGCTCCGTCAGCAATGCTGACACCATTATGCCGTCTGTCTCCACAGTTATAATCACTGTCCTCTGAGAAATGCAGTTGAAATGATCTTGAACAGTCAAAGAAACTCTCAATTAAGGCTGCCACTTCCAATGTGTCAGATTGTGTCTTATGCACTTGGTACAATTTTCACTTCCAATCCTGTTTATTTACAATGTCTACCAGTAATTACGCTTAACGTGTCATTTAGTGAGGGGGGCCCCTGCCAAGCCGATTGTTGGGTGCTGCTGTACCATTGAGTGGGAGTTTCCCGAAGTCAATGCCATCAGCAGCTTTTAGGCCCTGATGGGATGCGGTAGTAGCGTTGATAATGCGAGTATCGGCCTCATCAAGTCATAATTAGATGCCACTCAAATGTGCCACTTGTAATAACAGTGTTGATTCATGTTTTTCTCGGTGACTGCAACTACTAATTAGTTAAGTGGTTTTTGGTTGGCCCGCATTTGCAACAGATTATTACCCCTGAAAAAATGTCAAGGTTAGAGATGTTTCTGGCCACTTAGTTCTGCTTTATGAATTTGAATATTAACATAATAAGAACTCCGGACAGACTCAGGAAGTAATACATATTTTTTTTTTTGTATTTAATTTAGAGAGAAAAAAATTTTCCCCCTGAGTTTAATCATAATTGCAGGTTAATTAAGCTTAAATGAAGCAAAAGTAATCTGTCTTTGTGTTATGTGAGCCTGGTGCTTTTCCTAACTTTGTTGGGTTTCATATTCGGTTGTCCTTTAGTTTTTTAGCCTTCTTATGCCCAACAAATGGAAGTCTACAGTCTATGTCTGTAGAGTTCAGATTGAGAGTCTGAGATTTCTCTTCTGGCTAGAAATGCAGATGGGGAAACTTCACTTTTTTTTTTTTTGGCTTAAGCTTCAAAATATCATTACAGGTCAGAATTATCATGTCTTTAAATCTCAATTTACATAAAACAGCTACCCCCCCCAAAAAAAAAACTAAAAATTAAACAGTTTTTCAAGTGTTGGTAAAATTCTAAGTAAAATTTTATTTTTTTCCCCTAACCCCAATGATATTGTTGTAATGAACAGCTTAAAAGCACCTGTTTTCTCATCACATGGCTTGTAAGTCTTGGTGCCACACTGTCCTGACCTGGAGTTCCTGAAATAACAGGAACTGGCTTGTCATTGCCAAAGATGAGTGTCACAAACTTAGCTAACCACATTATTAAACAGCCACAAGACCAACTTGAGATTTATTTTTCCTTTATCTCTTATGAACTTGTTTTCCGTATTAGATCCACAGGTTATGTCTAGGCTAATCAAAAGCTAATCAAAAAATTGTCACTCCTTATGGAAGCCGCTTTTGTTTACTAATCTATTGCCATGGAGATAGCAACATTTAAAAATAAGACACTTTAGGAGCTGGAGAGCTAGCTTTTGTGCTTGCTGTGTACAAGGACCCAAGTTTGAGCCCCAGTACCACACAAAAAGCCAGGTGGGGTGGCATGTGCCTGTAATCCCTGCATTGGGGAGGCATAGAGACAAGTTTATTCCTGCATTCACTAGTCAGAGAGCTTAGCTGACTCAGCAAGGTCCAGGCCAGTCCAGTGGGAGACCCTACTTTATAAAAAGCAAGATGGGTGGCTTTTGAGGAAGGAATTTCAAGGTGACTAGTGACTTCCAAATGCACAGATATAGGCATGCATGCATGAATGTGTGTGTCCATGTATACAGAGAGGGAGAGAGAGAGAGAGAGAGAGAGAGAGAGAGAGAGAGAGAGAGAAACAGAGAGAGAGACAAAGAGAGACAGAGACCGATTTTTAAACTATTACAAATAGTTGAGAAGGTTTGTAGTTTGTGTGTGTGCATTTTTCTTTCTGCATACATACATTAGCTGAGATTTAATCAAAGGCAATTTCTGAGGAGCTTTTTAGTCATGGCCAAAGGTCTAGCTGTAGGAAGAATTGAAACATTCTTCTTGGTCATGGGGCAGTGTGTGGGCTTCTGGAATAGTTGACTAATTCTTGGATGCTGAGCCTCTCTTTATTCCTCTTTATTCCTAGTTTCTCATATGGTTATAGAGGAAGTGAATTTCATGCAGAACCACCTTGAGATAGAGAAGACATGTCGAGAGAGTGCTGAAGCCTTGGCGACAAAGGTGAGTCTGTGCTATCTAAAGGGGTAAGCCTGAGCTCTGTGTGTGCCAGCCAGGGGGTGAGCCTGGGCTCTGTGTGTGCTAGCCAAGGTAGTGAGCTTGGGCTTCTGTGCAACTTGGTCTCCTGCTCTGCTCCTAATTCTTTGCCCATTTGTCTGCTCTGATAAGGAGGTGTAAGGTTCCAAATTCTGCAATATGATTCTGTAAGCATCTGCTTGTGTACAAACTCCATTTCTAATTATAAAAGTGCATTCTCTCTGTCTCCTCTGTCTCTCTCTCTCTCTCTCTCTCTCTCTCTCTCTCTCTCTCTCTGTCTCTCTTTTTTTTCTCTCTCTCTCTCTCTCCCTCTGTGTGTGTGTGTTCCCAGTATTTGTACCCATTTAACCTGGAGAAGCAGTCCCCAGGGTAGATGTTACACTAGAGTTTCCCACAAGAACACAGACATTTTCTGCTGGAGTCTGATGAAAGAGTCAGTCAGCCCTACATTTCAGGTGGTTATTTATGAAAGCAGAAGAGGGCATGCAGAAGGTGACCTCCAGTGCGCCACTGATTGCCTCTAGCTGATGATTTTACCAAGTGTGTAATTTTCTATATTCTGTCTCATCAGAATTACATTATTATTAAAGAATGTTTTTATCTCTGTCTTATGTATTTTGGGTAAAAAGCGTCCATCAGAAAATGGATTACAGCAATTTCCAGCCAAATATCATTAGTAATGCTGGTTGTGCTCACCCCTACTCTTCATATCTCCCACCTCCAAAGTATTTCTTTGGATTGTGACTGAAGTTCTACTATCAACAAATAGACAAATAAATAAATGTATTTAATTCGTATGCATTAGCAGTGTGCTTGCTAATGGTATGTGCTTAATTGTTTGCATAATGACACTGCACTAAAATTCATAAGATACTGAATCAGAACCTAACTAGGAATATGGATTTCCATGTGAACTTCTTTCCTATTACTTGTCTGATGCACGCATAGCATTATGGGTTGCTGCTTTGATAGAATAAGGCACACTCACACTGTTTGCACTGCCTAAGCATCCCTGGAGTTTTTCAGTCGGGTATACTGGATACTCTTTTCTTTCCCCTTCCTTCTAGGATGAACAAAGAAACAATGTATTTGGTCCAGGTTGGTTTCACTGAATCTAGTGCCCAGGATGGTGTCTACATTATATCCATTCAGATGAAGACACCTCTGCTTCTTAGGATTGGCAGTTTAGGGAAAGCAAGGGCTTCTGGTCAGCACTTGCATATTTGCACATTTTATTTCTAATTGTGTAATTTGGGGCATTTGTGACTCAGAGCAAATTAGTTCTGCTCTCTGGTCACCTCAGGAGACAAGGTGGACAGTGATTAGAGTAGAGAATGGTGTGTGGGGTGACATTTCATGATACTTTGTAACTGTTGGCCCAAACATTGTCTTCTTTAAAAGGTATTTTATCTCTTCTTTTGTATACTGTGTATGTGTTTGTATGTGTGTATTTGTGAGTTTGTTTATATGTATATGCTTGTGAATATATGTATGAAGAAGTGTGTGTACATGTATATGTTACCCAGAGGTCACCTCAACTTTGAGCATCTTCCTCTATCACTTTCTAAGTAATATTTAGGAGCAGGGTCTCTCCCTGAACCTGTACCATGCTGTTTCAGCTCAGCTGCCTGGCCTGCAAGTCCCTGGGACCCACTTGTGTCTACTTCTCTAGGACTGGGACACAGTCACGGTCTACTATTCCTGGTGTCTTGCACAGGTGCTAAGGGTCCAAACACAAGTCTTTATGCTTTTATTACAAACGCTTCACCCACCAATCCATCTAACCCATAGCCACAGTGTGGTGTAAGTATTAGTATGTTGCAAAACTTCCTGGTAATGGATGGATTTAGTTTTGCTCAACAATCACTGTACTATCCCCTAAACTCATTCTAATGAGAACCTTAGTACACACCATTCGTCTCCTGATCTTAGATGCCTTTTGTCAAGTAGACATATAGTTTGTTTTTGAGGATGTGTAATGAACTCTTGGGACCTGAAAAAAAAAAAGACTAAAAAATAATGGAATTGAGGGAGCTGGAGAGATGGTTTTAAGAGTGTGTGCTACTCTTGCAGAGGACCTGAGTTCAGTTGCCGGCACCCACGTTGGGCAGCTCATATAGAACCTCAGCTGCAGAGCATCATCAGATACCTTCTTCTGGCCTTTGTGGGGACATTTGCTCTTATGTACATCCCTATACAGATACATACAAACCAGTTTTAAAACATAAAATTAAAACAGTACATTCTTATGCTATAATTCGACCTCACTGTTTTCTTATAAGTACAGCAACTACAGCAAGTCTGTTTTGCTAAAATGTGCAGGTTAAATTGGTTACTGACCAGGTATTTGAAGCTTTAAGATCCAGAGCTATTTAGTTTACCCCTTTCTTCTGAGTGCTCTGCCGGTGTAGCCAGTATGTAAATTTGTATATGGAAATGAGTTCTGCTAGGGTAAGGTGAAGGCAGATTTTCTCTTGCCTTTTGATTGAGAGCTATTTCAGACAAGCAGCACAGGATTACCTCTTAACAAGACAACAGTAATGAAATCCCTTCTCTAACATTCAGGAATTTGAGCACTACAAAAATGTCTACGTAGAGTGCACCAAGACTTCATTGGTATAAAACTTGTATTTTTCTTTCAACAGATGAGAATGGTCTGGGGCTCTGGGCTTCTGCTTCTGCCTCTCTCTGAGTGTCACTTGCTTTGGGTTTTTATGGCAGGATCCCTTCTACTCTCAGTCCTGTAGGAGAAGGTAGTTGACATCACCTCTTATGGCTAGACATGCAGAAACTCTTTCTTCCAGCAACCGCCTTTCTAGAGAAGAGATCTGATTGGCTAAATGTAGTCATATGCACTAACTCTGGCTGATTAGTGATGGCCAATGACATTGTCTTTGCACAGTGTGTGTGTGTATGTGTGTGTGTGTGTGTACGTACACATGTGCATGTCTGAGCATGGGAGTGTATGTGTGTGTATGCACAGGTGTGCACATGCACTTATGCATGCATGCTGTCAGTGTGGGTGCATTCATGCCATAGCCTGTGTGTGAATGTCAGAGCATGACTTTTGGGTTCTCCTTTTTTCCACCGTGAGTTCTGGGGGACTCATGTCCTCAGATTTAAGCTATCTCACCAGCCTTGTATTTCTTAAAATTTATAGCCAGTGTTTCTACTTGCTGCTGCTGTAATTCAGGATGAGGCATCACTTAAAATAATAAACTTAATGCTAAAGCACGTGAGTAGTTTATTCATTGAGTGAGTCTACCTGTTACATCCTACTGTGAATGTTAATGAATATGTAAGACAAAAATACACTTAATTCATTTGTTTAAAAATGCAAGATTTGACTTGGTTGATAAAATAACTGTTTTTTCCTATGTCACTTTTAGCTAAATAAAGAAAATAAAACACTGAAAAGAATCAGCATGTTATACATGGCCAAACTGGGGCCAGACGTAATAACGGAGGAGATAAACATCGATGATGACGACCCAACCACTGATACAGATGCTGCGGCAGAGACCTGTGTGTCTGTTCAGTGTCAGAAGCAAATCAAAGGTGGGATTCCAGTGTTGCAACTGAGCATGATTTCTGCCAGCACAGGGCTTCCTGTCTCTGATGGCACACTAGAATTCCATGAGGAGTTTTGAAAATTCATGGAGTCAGAAGAGATGGTTCAGTGAGTAAGAGTACTTGCTGAGCAATGATGAGGAATTGATTTCAAATTCTCAGCACCCACATCAGCTCCTGCATGGATGTACATGCCTATAATACCAGAACAGGAGTGGGGGAGTGGTGGCATGGCCACTGGAAGGACTGGGCTTGCTACAGCCACTCCAGGTAGAACACCAATAAGCTCTAGGTTTAACACAAGACCCCCATCTTGAGGGGGGAAGGTGAAGAATGATAGAGCAGGGCAAGTGACTTCTTCCTTGGGCCTTTACACACGTGTGTGCACACTTATACATATGTGTATAAGTACACACGTGTGCACACATATACCATGCACACACACTGAAAAAATTTTTGAGAATACTGATGACTGGGTCCTAGCAGCAGCGTTTTTTTATACACACGTGTCCACACACAAATATACACATGTACTTATACACACATGTGCACATATACACCATGCACACACACTGAAAAATTTTGAGAATACTGATCACTGGGTCCTAGCTGCAATGGTTCTGACTTCATTAGCCAGGGCAATCAGGGGAAACTGAGCCTGAGTGAGAATGACATCAGTGTCTTTTTCTTACTTTGTGGGTTGCTTTCTTGTTTGGAAGGAGGCCCCTTTAGAAGTGTGACCTGGCTAGAAATGAGGGGTTACCATAATTTTAAGAGATTGTATTATGATTTGTTTTTATCTTTTAGGTTTGTTTTATTTTATATGTACGAATGTCTCGCCTGCATGTATGTGTGTGCACCACATGCGTGCAGGGTTAAGACACTCTTGCTGTGTGAAAGATAAGTATAGTTAAAACCATCTCTGTCTGACTTGGCTGGCAGTAGAGCCAGGTATAAAGAGAACTTACCATATCTAAAGTCCAAGATTCAGTCCCCAGCACAAAAATTGTATATGTGTTCAACCAATACCCTGTATTTATTTGGGTCTCTGTTATAAGTTCAGTACCACGTGCAACTTGGTTCATGTTCAAAAGTCGTGCTTATTGTTTTGCCTGGGAGATAAGATTTCAGATGGAAGGTGTTCCCTGACTTCAATCCGACCCATTATGTTAGGACAAAATAGAGGGTGCTGGTTGGGAGTGATGGGGACATCAAGGTCTCCCTCTGTTCATTGTTCTCCCTTCTGTGAGACCTTGAACAATATGGTCTCATGTTCTTCCTTCTGGAATTAGTCAGCTGGTGGAGAAAGTGACTTAGAGCCAAATCTCAGAACTTCAAGCTGAGTTCAAAAATAAAAAAATCAGCTTATGAATAATGATGTCATGGGTTTTTTTTTCTTGTCCTTGGAGAAGGGTAAGAATTGAAAAGCATTTAAAAACAAAACTGGGCAGAGCAGTAGGCCAAGTAGAAGCTTAAGAAACTCGTGTTAGTCAGTGGGCACTTTAAACACTGCTGTCACACGGTCCCTTTCTAGCCAAATAATAAAAATAAATGAATAAACAGAATACCCACAACTCTGGAAAGGAAATGGCTTCTTTACATTTTCAAGTCAAGATTTCTGTTTTCTTAACCTTGGAATCTCCAGATTATTAGCTATCCAGCCATGGGTTTGTGTTGTGTTGTGCCAGGAACTTGTAGCCATCATGAAAGAGAAATTGGTACAATGCCTTAACTTGCCTCTGCCTACAAATTCTTTTACTTCTAAAATGCCAGACAGCTTCTTTAGAATGTGATTTTTTTGATAGAATGCAAAGAAAATTCACTTTGGTCCCTTTAACACAGTGATATCATTGGGCCTGTGTGGTGTAGTTTCTGTGTGTGGCTAGGGTGGACCTTCATGTGACATTTCCATTGTCCTCAGTTTTGGCATGCTCTACTCCTTAATTGTCAGATAACACTGACCACAAACTGCATTTTTAGTTCTTTTGATCAGATCCATGCTTTCTTTTTTAAAAAATAAATTTATTTCAGGTGTAACTATCATGGAAATCAGTTCAAGGTACAGTGGCGTTTTTGTTTTCCAAAATAAAATAAGAGAACTACCAGGTAGGGTGCTAGAGAGATGGCTCAGTGGTTAAGAACACTGGCTCCTCTTCCAGAGGTCCTGAGCTCAATTCCCAACAATCACATGGTGGCTCACAACCATCTGTAATAGGATCTGATGTCCTTTTCTGGTGTGTCTGAAGACAGCTACAGTGTAGTCACATATATTCAATAAATAAATCTATAAACAAACAATCAGACAAACAAACTACCAGGTGACCCAGTTATGCACCTCCCAATGGGCCTTGCATCCATCACAGAGACTTGCATATTCATGTCTACTGCTGCTGTATTCACAACAGGAAGGAGTTGGAATTAGCTGTCCATCAAAGATGAACAGATAATAACAATGTGATACATAGTGGAATTTTATTCAGCTATAAAGGAAATTTTACTTATTTGCTGAGGCGATGCCTGGGGGGGGGGGGGAGGAACGTGCTTGCTGTGCAAATGTGAGGACCTCAGTTTGGAACTCCAAACCCATGTCAAGATGGACAGGGTAGCATATGTCTGTAACCCCAGCACTGCCAGTACAACATTAGAGTCAAAGACAGGTGAATTCCCACAAGCTCATACCCTGACTAGCCTAGCATACTCAGGTGAGCAGCAATAAGCCTTGGCTCAAACAGGTTGAAAGGTAAGAACCTACATCCGGTTGTATCTAATTTCTATGTGTGTGCTGACACACACATACTTGGAGTCACATACATGAACACATGCACATGTACACACAACAATAGCAAGGAAAATGAAATTGGAATTTGTAGGAAAAAGAACAGGAATGGTAATACTACTTTCAGTGAGGTAAGGTTCAGAAAGGTACATGCCAAGGGTTCTGTGTCATTTGTAGATCCTAGCGTCTCGTTTTTATCTTGGTCTATTTGTACAGGAATGAGTGTAAGTAGATGGTCATGAAGTTATAAAGGTCCATGAGGGGGGAAATGAGGTTTTTCAGGAAGAGGAGGGAGGCTGAAAGGCTCATGGAGATCGCTGGGGACTGAAGAGTTCAAGTGAGGAGTGGGGAGGGGAGGGGAGAGGAGGATCTACCAAAACAAAAGAATGAAAACATTGTAAGAAAACCTGTTATTTTGTTTCATAATTAAAAAGTAAAATAAAATTTATTTCATTTCCTTCCTTTAAAATTACAGAATTTCGAGAACAAATTGTGTCTGTTCAGGAAGAAAAGAAGGTGCTAGCCATTGAGCTGGAAAGCCTCAAGAGCAAACTAGGGGAGGTGATGGAGGAGGTAGGTGTCTTAGTCCTGAGGGCCAAGACTTTGGCTTTTTAACTAACAGTCATTTGCGTTGGCTAAGTTACAAAGATGCTATTCAAAGCTAGCTTTTGATACTAACATCTGTTGGCTCTTTTCTTTTCTTTTCTTTTCTTTTCTTTTCTTTTCTTTTCTTTTCTTTTCTTTTTTTACTATTTTATTGTGTTCTTATACATCTACCTCCCTTCCAAACCCTATTCCACACTAATCCCTTCCTACCCACTAACACTAGGTAGGAGAGAGAAGGGTTAGAGGGGGAAAGAAGCCTAGACCTCTGTACTACTTCCTTCTGACTAGGGGTATTGGTCATCACTGTGTGTCCGTCCCACAGAACAAAAAGGATAAGTAGAGGAAAGGTTCAAGGGATGATGTGAGAGAATCTTCTTCTCTTGAATTGCCTGTAAGCACGGACCCCTCTGTTACCTTTTATTTGTAACAAAGTTTCAAGGATCTGCCTTTACAACCCTGTTTTAACTTGTATCCATGGGTCTCAGATTCTTTGGCCCAGAGATTCCCAACCAGTGTCTGCCGGCACTGCAATAACCCCAGCTGGCTTAAGGGGCCCATCAGTGAGCAGTCTTACCTGGTCAGCTTCCTCCTCAGCTTCTAATGGCTGTCACATACAAAGGTTGGGCAGCCATGCTCTCCAGCCTCCAGCCCCAACTGCTGTTGCTTTGTTTCTCCCAAACACAGTAATAATGGGAAAGAGGAGGCAACTTTGGAGGGATTTCCCTCTTAGACTTTGTGACTTACTAATGTCAGCCAAAGCAAAAAAATGAGATCTATGTGAAGAGAAACCAATTCATTGACTCTCTGGAGGTGGATCCAGGGCTATGTTCAGAATCATTATTGTGGTTTTCTTCTTTAATGGAAGTACAGGAGAGGAGAAGGGAACATTTTCTGTAACCATCGACCCAGCCTTAGTGGTATTGCTGGAAGATAATTCAAGAGTTGTTTTTATTGTCACTGTTTTAAACATCTAGAAAGGGATCAAGCAGAAAAAGTGAGCTTACAGACATCTGCTTAGTCTACCTCACAGCCTGCCAGCACAGCCATGGTAAAACTTGGGGTACCACCCTGAAGCTGCCTCCTCACACCATGACAAGCTCCCTACGCAGCCTTTGTTCTGAACATGGTGTTTATCAATCTTGTGTGTGATTTTTACATGCTTAGATCAGTACAGGGTTGTTTGGGTATTTTTAGGTTCTGTAAACATGACTGTCTCTTAAAAATTCAGCACAATGCAGTTGAGATTTAACCACCTTTATGTGGGTAGCTTTGCATTTAAGAAACAACTGCTGTATGGAATTCTTTTCTACGGTTGGTGTTAAAAAGTTATTTCAGAAATTTAAGTTTGGGAAAGAATACCACAGGTACACTTTATTAAGCCGTAAGTTGTCAAAATTTAAAGTTATCTTCAAAAAATTAATATATGCATCTTTTCAACATAAAATCAAAGTTCAAACTGGAGCCTGAAGTTAAGTACTTGCTGTCTTGTTAAGTGATAGGTGTATTTTGTGAATGATCACATCTTGGATTTTTGCATTAAAACTATGAGTGGGTGACATTGAATGGCTAGAACATTAGCCAGTGTAAGGAGGGCCCAATGCCAATTTAATTATGTAAATGAGCTATGCTCTGGTATGACCTGAAGTCCCAGATTACCTCAGTTTCACAGAAGAGCTTTCACACTCTCGGTGGAGGAGCCACTGGGTACTCTTTACACTGCAACTTCATGTTGAAAGCCAAACAGCCATTTGAGGGTCCCATGTCCCTTACGACTCATTTACAATTTTTCTCCTTCACATTTTATTGACATTTGTAGGTAAACAAAGTTAAACAAGAAAAAGCTGTTTTAAATTCTGAAGTTCTTGAGCAGAGGAAAGTCTTAGAAAAATGCAACAGAGGTAAGTGTCTGCAGTCTTCTCTTCTCCAGCACGCTTTGCTTATGTGTGTCTGGTGCTTTTTTATCCATGTGCCCAGAGTTTATCTTTTTCCAAGGTTGTGTTTTGCTCAGCAGTGACTCTTATCTCAAGTCCATTATTTCAATGCTGAGGAAATTTAACAGGGATTTCTTCCCAAGCCTGGTGGACACATACCTTTAATCCAAACACTCAGAAGGCATATCTATTGTAAGTATGAGACCAGCCTGGTTTATCTAGTGAATCTTAATCCTGTCTGGCCTACATAATGAGATCCTATCAAACACACTCTCAAAAAAAAAAAAGTATCAGAGTATTTCTGTAATCCTAGCACTCAGGAAGGAAGAGACAGAGGATCTCTGAAGCTTATTGTCCAGACAGCCTAACTGAATTGATGTGGTACAGAACCAGTGAGAGACCCTACCTCAAAGCAGACAGACAGACAAGATAGATAGATATAGATACGTGAAAGATAGATAGATAGATAGATAGATAGATAGATAGATATAAAGATAGAGATAGATAAAGATAAATGGTAGGGATAGACTGATAGACAGATAGATATAGATAATATAGATAGAATGATAATATAGATAGAATATAGATAGAATATTAACATAGATAGAATAGATAGATAATGATACCCAGAGTTAACCTCAGGTTTACACACACACACACACACACACACACACAAGTGCATGCACATTACACAAGCTTCAAGTATACATACCACACACATTGCACTTAAAAAGTTAATAAAAGCCATTTCCCTTAGGAACTAACTCATTATGGAACTAACCAACTCATTCTGAAACTTCAAACATATGTACATCTGTCCTCTGTGTACTGTGGGACCATACTCTTTTGGCCCTCTTAGCTCTTATATAACTGTTAGTAAGTCAGAATCTAGGAGAGGTTCAGAAAACTTCATAAACATGATGATATTTTAAATTAAGAGAATGTAGACAATGGGCCAGTCTACAAAATGAAAAATGAGCATCAAGTTTGGTGTACCGGCCAGGCGTGGTGGCATGTGCTTTAAATCCCAGCATGGTGGAGGCAGAGGCAAGTGATTCTCTGTGAGTTTGGAGGACAGTTTTGTCTACATAACATAGTGAGGACCAGGCCAACCAGGGATGCATATTAAGACTCATGTTAAAAACAGATTGACAAGCCAAATGTTCCCTTGCTCTGGTGTCTTCCATAATTCTTCTTTGTGTCTGGAATATGACTCTGCGCCTTTAGTGGCCAACACAGCAAGGGATTTTAAACCATTTAGACAAGTAACATAAAAACATATCTAGTGGTGCAGAAACTAGGACCAGCCTATGTAGGAGATGCTTCCGACTGTACTTCAAAAGAAAATGCCATGTTGTTTGGTCAACATCTCATTCTTACTGTTAAACAAGGCATGAACCTCTGTGGGGTCTGGCTACAATGTTGCAGTTTAGCGCAGGGAACAATACTGAAGTCTCTGCAAAAGTCTTTGGGGCCAGGGAGGGGAAAGGACTGTATCAGTCTATTTTTTGTTGCTATCATAAACTACCCAAGGCTGGGTACTTTAAAACAAATATAGGTTTCTAGCTTCAGATGTCATCCAGGAGCACAGCCCCATCATCTGCTCCCTCTGGGTGGGTCTCCTTAATGGGATCCTACCACCGTGATGGGATCCCACCACCGTGATGGCATCGAATCGTAGCAGGAGTGCAGGATTCTAGGGAGAGACCTCATGGCAAGAGAGGGCCTGGTCTGCATGGCAGTAAGCTCTCTTCTCTTAAGTTCCATCACCTCTTAATAGTAACATGCTGGGGACCAACCTTGCAGCATGTGCATCTTTGGAGGCCTCATTGCATCTAAACCACAGTAGATGATTAATATGTCTCTTGTTCTCCCTTTGGCCTGTCCCCAAGCCACCTAGTGTCCTAGTTTAGAAGACAAGACACAGACAGAGCTTTCCAGGCTGTCCCTGCAGTGATTCCTACCCTTTGTGTTGCTTATTGGCTGGAGTTTTTGAAGAAAGAGCCTGGACGTTAAGCCAGGGAGAAGGATGAGATGGTAGGTTTTCTTCAGGTCCCCCTTCAGTGTATACACAAACTGCACTCTCTGTGTACTGTGCAGACTGTGAATTCACCGCATGAGTCTTGTCTCCAGGAAGCTCCTGTCTAGAAAGAAGTAGGGATACATGAACTTGCCACCAGGACTAGGAGAGAGAGTTCCTTTCAGAATCCAGGTCAAAGGAACCTAGACATGGGAAAATTCACTTTTTATTATAGTGTTCTGGATAGAGAAAAAGAGAGCCTATCGTCCTGCCTGGGGCTTTAGATAGTCACGGTCTTCATTGTTCTCTTCGTGGAATTTCTTTTTTTAAATAGGTTTGAAAGTCATTTAGTCCTCAGGGACCTGTAATTCTCAGCACAAACCGCCACTTACATTACTTTACTTGAGTTAGACTGTTCTGCTTCTGTCTGAGGAAGCAGTGGTTTAGGAAGAACAGAGTTTGAAATTCTATGTCATTACACATCAAACCCGTCCTTAGTCAGTTAGGATTGAAGTGCCCCAGTGGAACAGAGTGTGAAAGCAGCCATTAAGAGTGTCTTGGCGGGGAGTTTATTGATACAACTCAGGTTCAGAGCGAGGCCCTTCAGCGGCTGTCTGCTTGCATTGTGCCGGGTTCCTAATGGCGTCACGGCTCCCTGCATCCTATCCGCATCATTATTTAACAAAGTAGGCCACAAAATGTCAAAAGCAGCAACGATTGCATGTTGCTTTTATTTGACAAGACTTTTCCTACAGTGGTTCTTTTTGGTTGGGGAAGGGGAACGGGGTCTCACTAAGTGGCCCTGACCACATTTTGCACATGTCTGTTGATCTGCCCTGTGAAATGCCTATGATATGTCTTTTTGTCTGTGGCTTAATGTTTTTTGTCTGGGACAGGAGAGATGGTTCTATGGCTAACAGCACTTTTGTCCTCTTGCAGAGGACCCAGGTTCAGTTCCCAGGATATCCATGGTGGCTCAGTACCCTTTATAACTCCGGTTTCAGAGGATCTGATACCTTCTGACCTCAGTGGACACTAGGCATGCATGTGGTACACAGACAAACATGTAGGCAATATATTTATACAATAATCTAAAAAAATGTATTCATTTTGCAACTGACTTTTATAGTACATTTATTTGAAAACATATAACATGTCATTCCTTATATATTTCTTGCACTGTAGTTTACAAATCCTTTGGTGTTTCCCCAGTGGTCCAAAGAACATGTTTGCAACTACATTTCTGTATGTCCTCCTGATTTGCTCTTTTAGGAAGTGTGTATTTGAATCTAGGAGTGTGACTGGTTTTAAGTTTTCCACTTACATTGCTAAACTACCCTTCATAAAGCTCATCACTCTGCACCGGCCAGGAACAGATGACAACCCCCACATGCCTTATACAGAATCTATTCCACATGTGCTGCTGGTAATTTTGCACAGCCCGTTGTCTCTGTTCTTTTTTGTCTCCTTAAGTGTCCATGTTGGCAGTTGAAGAGTATGAAGAGCTGCAGGTGAACCTGGAACTGGAGAAGGACCTTCGAAAGAAAGCAGAGTCTTTTGCACAAGAGGTGGGTATGCTACTGGGAACAGGGAAGTTTTGCAGCACACCCGTGGCCAAAACAAGTTGAATGCTGTCAGATCCAAAGGGCAATAGATTCTAGTGTTCCTAGCATGGTAGGTTGACTCACTTACAGTAGTTATTATGTAGTTTGTAGGGACCTACAAGAGAGCCATGTGACACTTCCATCACCAATCACAAATGTTTAAGGAGATGGCAATGCAAGGACTTAGGTCTAAGTATCACAGCTTATACACGTACATCAGATTCCCCTCGTGTATCCCATAAATATGCACAGCTGTTATGTGTGGACTGAGGATTTTAGAAAATGTTTGAATAGAACTTGAAGTTTTAAAGGAGGCATCCTGGCCAGGTGGGAGCTGCTGCGTTGTGACTTTAAGTCTACTGACATTTGTGGGGAAGATATGGGTTGAGATTTGCTGTGTCTGTCACTACACACGACCTCCTGTCCTCTTAAAGCTGCACTTCCACCGTCTGTAAAATAGAGTCCATGTAAATGGAATCAAAAGATTTTAGAATGCAGTGGAATGTGTATGTGTGTGTGTGCGTACACACACACACATAGAGGCTAGGGATCATTATCAGGGGTCTTTCTCAGTCACTATCCACAGCTGGCCAGCTTGAGTGTAGAATTCCTAACAGATAGTCTTGAGAATCTGGGCTGTGTGGCAGTGTCATCCTAGAAGGTGATGTCACAGTATCTGCCTTTCTCTCCTCACCATCGTCCAGTGCTCTCATTCTGTGAGTTGATTCTTTCATCACTAATGGAATGTTGCCGTGTGGTACACCGATTACCTCAGCCACTTACCAGTGTAATGATTTACCTCTCAGGCTCGAGATAAGCTTTGAGATTCTCTGGTCCTACCTGACCTTGTTGACATGCAAGTATTGGGTATTCCATGGCTCTGGAGCTGGTTTCCAGGGGAATGACCTGTCACCAGGTAGCTGAACTCAAACATCGGGCTTCATTCAGCAAGAGCTCCGTCTCCGTTGGAATTTTGAGCTTTGTGTTGAGAGTGAGGCTAAGGAACTGAAAGCAGTCCAGGAAGAGGTATCCAAGGTGGAGAAAAAAGACAGCATGTTGCAAGAATGACATTTGAAAATCAGATTCTGTTTCTGTTTTGTTATATTTTTGTTTTGTGTTTTTGTGCTTAAGCATAGCTAGGCTAGCATTGGCCTCCACAGAAGGTCTAATCTAGGCTTCTCTGATTTGAAATAATTGTGATTAATTTTATTCAGAGAGTTTGAGGAAAGGCGGATGAATATTGTTCTCTGTTGACTTGTAAGAAAGGAAAAAGAGTTGGAGTGTGTCCGACAGATTTTGTCTGGAACAAAATCTGTGTGACTATAAATGGTTTGGGTAAAGTGATTGTGGGGAGGACAGGTGGGGAAGACATGGAGACCTTAGGTTGATTAAATACGGCGGGGTCTTACCAAGATGTTTTCATTTCCTGCATGTTGTTTGCATAATGATATCAGAATAAAATACACAAAGCAGCTCAGAAGACAACTTAAGAAGTGGCAGAGAAGACAGAAGAGGTGAGCTTCTAGCAGGAAAGCATGCAAGTGAAGGATTTCCAAAGGGTCAGCTGACCAGGCAGGAGCCCTTGAGATGTGGGGACAGTGCAGGCACCATGCTGAACCAGCCTGAGGAGGGGAAGGTGGCCTGGGAGGCCTCTGTGACTGGCAACATGAATGTGTGCGGCAGTGCTCGACACCCAAATTTAAACTCCATCCTGAGATTTAAACCTCCATTGCTGAGGAGGAAATCTCGGGCTTTGACCCATGACTACCACTAACGGCATGAGACTTGTTTCACAGGAGGCTGGCTCACTGTTGCATGTTGTGCACTGGATTGGTACAAGAGGCAGTTGTATGTTGGAGAAGATATTGAGCTTACTGTCCACAGTTTGAGAAATAAACATCCAGGTTTACTTGTTTTATGAATTTAATTGCGACAGGAATTTGTTTGCTTATTTAAAAAAACAGAGCCACTTCTGAACACGTAAAACAGAAACTGAGAATTTCCTTCTTCTTGTATTCATTTATTTAAAACAAAACCAAAGCCTGCTCCTTCTTAACAACAGGAGTCAGTTGTATCCAGACCCATGTTCTTAAATTTTTCATCTACATATTACATTTTTAAAAAAAACTTATTTATGGTGTGTGTATGTGATTGTGTGTTTATTGTGTGTTCTCTATGGTATATGTATGTGATTGTGTGTGTTCTCTATGGTGTGTATATTTGATTGTGTGTGTGTTGTGTGTGCTCTCTATGGTGTATGTATGTGATTGTGTGTATTCTCTATGGTGTGTGTATGTGATTGTGTGTTTTCTCTATGGTGTGTGTATGTGATTGTGTGTTTATTGTGTGTGCTCCCTATGGAGTGTGTATGTGATTGTGTGTGTTGCTTTTGTGATGTGTATATGTGACTATGTGTTGTGTGTGTTCTCTGTGGTGTGTATATGTGACTGTCTGTTGTATGTGCTCTCTATGGTATGTGTATATGATTGTGTGTGTTGCATGTGTTCTTTATGATATATGCATGTGATTGTGTGTATAGTATGTATATGTGATTGTGTGTGTTCTCTGTGGTATGTATATTTGATTGTGTGTGTGTGTTGTGTGTGCTCCCTATGGTGTGTGTATGTGATTGTGTGTGTTGTGTTTGTGGTGTGTATATGTGACTATGTGTTGTGTGTGCTCTCTATGTGTGTATATGTGATTGTGTGTGTTGTGTATGTCCTCTCCCTCCACCCACATGGACTCTAGGGCTTGAACTCAGGTTTCAGGCTCATGCAGCCAGCACCTTCACCCACTGAGCCATCTTCCCAGCCACATTTTAAAGTTATAATGCAATTTTCGTATACTTTTCAATGTGTTTTTCTTGCCATTCACTTTCCTTCCTGAATAATTTGTACAATGGTGGAGTATTGTTGTGGATTCTGTATTAGCATAAGATTTTTGTTTTTACTCTTATCCTTCAAAAAGACATGTGAAATTTCTTAGAAATTCCTAGACCTGTGGTGTTCTTCCTCTGGTAAGAGACCAACTTTCTGACTCTAATTGAGGTGTTCTTGCCACAGCAAAACCACACTCATTAGTGTTTGGTATATGAATCCTCTAGCAGAGGACTCACTTAACTTAAATTTTAGCACTTTAATGTTTGGGGAAGGTAGATTTTGGGTTTGTTTTCTTTCTTGAAATAATCCCATGTAGCTCAGACTGTCATCAGACTTGATATATAGCGAAAGATAACCTTGAAATCCTCCTGATCTACTTGTCTCTTTCTCCAAGTATTGGGATTACAGACATGTGCCATTGTTTCCAGTTTTTGTGGTACAAGGGATTGAACCCAGGACTATGTGTTTGGTAGGCAAGCACTCTACCAACTAGGTTACTGCTGGTAGAGGTGTTTTACAGGGGTTTTGAGGAAGAAATTCACACTAGGAGGATTTTCCAGACATGTTTTTACTTGTTTGTGTTCAAAGTGCCACAGTCAGTATACTTTGTCCTCGTGTGGTGTTGAGCAAGTTTTCCAGAGTGTTCTTCTTTCCCAAGAAAAGCAAATGCTGGAGAGTCACAGAGTAGGGATGGTGCTGTGTCACGGCTCATGAGTTGGTGACAGGGAGTGGGTGTCCCTATTTGATCTCCTGACTCTGTGGCTGTAGCTTCTTTGCCAGTAACACATGCAGCAGAAAGGAACCTGGAGCATCAGCTGCCCTTTGTGATTACTCCTGAGGTACTGAGATGCTGGTGAGGGAGCCTAGCTGGTTACATTATAATAGAGGAGGAAAATGTATCAAAATTATTGTAATAATGTAACTAAAATAATTCATTTCAGCTAGATACTACTCCAATATTCAAAACACTGTGTCAATCTTTAATACTTATCCTTTGGTTGGAGTCTGAGCCTCCTGTGCAGAATGCCTTGGCTTATACTCACATGGCTGTCTCTGTGCCTTTAACTCTTCTAAAGAGGAGGTGACACTGAAGGAGTGTGGATTCCATGTACTATGCAGAATTGTGTTTCACAAGGCTGGAGAAATGGCTCAGCAGTTAAGAGCACTTTCTACTCTTCCAGAGCACCTGAGTTCAGTTCCCAGAACACAATCAATTGTCTCACACCCACCAGTGACTTTAACCCCAAGAAAATCTGTCACCCTTTTCTGTCCTGTTCTGTCCTGTGCCATATATATATATTATGTATATTTTTTTTCACAGAGAGAGAGAGAGAGAGAGAGAGAGAGAGAGAGAGAGAGAGAAACATACTTGTACACATAAATAGTAAAAATGAATCTTTGAAAACTTAGTGTTTTTCCTGTTTGAGCTGGCATGTATCTTAATTTTGCACAGCACTGTAGCCACTTCACAGGCTTCTCAGCTGCCCTCTGCTCAGGAGTGAAGCCTCAGTCACTGTGTGTGTGCAGAGGTTGGGGGCACATTTGTGTGTAGCTCATACATGTTTGGAGGTCAGAGGTTAACACTGGGTGTGTTTCCACCTTGGTGTTTGAGACAGGGTCTCTCGTTGAACCTGGAACTCATTGATTGGCTGGACTGACTGGCCACCAACCAGGGATTCCCCGTTGCCTCCCTCCATCACCATAGTTACAGATATATGAAAATATGTCCAGCTTTTACTGTGTACTTAGGACCCAAATTCAGATTCTCAAGCTTGTACAGCTTGCGCTTCCAGACGGAGGTAACCCTACCCCCACCCCCTAATCCCCTTCTAGCCATTTTTTGTCTCCTTCAGGAAAGATGTACTGGGAAAAAAAATGTGTGGTGTATGCATGCATGTGGGTATTGTATACATATGTGTGCAAGTGTGTTGTGTCTTATACAATCTATGGTGAGTTTGACTGACCGGGACTAAGCTTGCAGACTGTGTAAATCGCTATAATTCTAGTCTTTTCACATGGAGGTTTGGAGGAATTTTATTTTGTCCCGAGTTACATTTGCTTACTGACATTCATGTTGCGCAGCAGATGAAGTTGTACGTGTGCTCTCCGGTGAGCCATCTTACTGTGTGCACCTTACATACAGTTAAGCTACAATGTCAATGTAAGATGCCAGTAAGATCTTGACAGTATAACGCTTTGCTGCTCTGAGACTTCTAGTCTGTGAAATAGCTCATACTTTGAATTGTCCACTGCCCTGCTTGGTGTGGTGGTGAAAAAAAAATAAATAACAGACAAATAGAAAATAATACTGCTGTCAATTGTGTCAACATGGGAGAATTAGCCAACTCCTGTTCATAAGCAACTCGATAAAGCGTTCAATAGATGTTAATATTGTCTTCTCTCCTTGGACCTCCTCTTGTGAACTGTTTTATCACTGGAGGAAACTAACTGGTCTAAACCAGTCTAATAAAGAGCAGAGTGGGTGAGTCAGGTGGTCAAGAGATTTGGCTTGCAAATGAGCTTAAGCTCTGATCTTGATATGTGAGCATCCTTGGCTATCCTTGTTCTCCACGAGCCGTGGCTTCTTTATCAGGACAATGTGATAGTCACGGTACCTATTTAGCAGTGTTAACTACTGTGTTGTACAGTGATTAGTGACGGTTCCCTAGTCAGAGTAGAGAAGTCAGCTGAAAATAAAACATAAAGAGGAGGCACAGCTCATTTCTGACATAGATATGTCACTTTTAGTATTATTGTATGTTAAACCAGTAGGAGAACATTTAAAATCGAGGTGTAGAACTGGATTGTTGTATCCACATCTTGCTTAGGGTAACAACTTGGGTCTTAAAGCTCATGTGAAGGTGGGAATGGATCATGGCTGCTCTAGAACATCTCCTTCAGTGTCTTCAAGAGCCCCACCCACTGCCATTCAAGCTGCACTGAGGAGCCGAATAGGCTGAGTTGGTGTATACATTTTTGTTTTTGACTTTCACAGATGTTCATTGAACAAAACAAGCTGAAGAGACAAAGCCACCTCCTGCTGCAGAGCTCCCTTCCTGACCAGCAGCTTCTGAAAGCTTTAGATGAAAACTCAAAACTTATCCAGCAGCTTGAAGAAGAGAGGATCCAACATCAGCAGAAGGTAACTGATTTTATTCTGCAACTGTAGACACACACACATATACACACATACATACACATGCATGCATATACACATGTGTATATACCATACGTGCACACACATGTACCCACAGGTGCACATACCCACATGCATTCACACACCACACATTCCACACACACATAGCACATACACATACATACATACACATTTGTGTACACACCATACATGCATGCACATGTACACACAG